GGCAATGATAGCTGGAAGTGGCCAAGTCACATTTTGGGGTGGCTTTGACTCCCTGAAAGCCTCCTACACCCAGCACCACCCCGGTGAGACACTGGGATTGGGGGGGCCCTTTGGGGGCCTATGGATTATATCCAGAGTTTCATGCTTGAGGGATTCAGCTGCTCTCTTGCAGTCCTCAGGAAAGAATTACCCTCCTGGATGCATTCTGGGCATGATTTTTTCTCCACCCGCTGAAGTGGTAGAGATCTGCTATGGGGGGAAAGGCAATACGCACTGGGTTGTCTCAATGAATTATACCTCACAGGTGCTCTGCTGGTACATCTTGCTCCTGTGCTTGGGGTCCCATTGATCACCATTATCGGGGTCAGGAAGGAATTTTACTGTTGGTACCATGGCTTTTTCCACCTGTCACTGCAGCATGGGGTGGGTCACTTGGGCTATGTCTACACTATCGAGTTTTTTTCGGAAAAATGGCCATTTCCCCCCCCCCAAAATTGAATTAAGTCCACATTGCAAACACATTATTTTGAAAGAAAATCAAAAGAACAGAGGGGTTTTCCGACTTTGGTAAACCTCTTTCTACGAGGAAGAAGCCTTTTTCCAAAAGAGTTTGTCACATTATTGGATTTTAAAGTGAGCAGACAGATCTCTGCTGTACCCATGATTATCCTGAAAATAATCATCGTAGCAGCATTGCGCAAAAGGGTTTTTCTTGCCCAAGAAGGGGCAGTGTAGACAGCTCCTTCGTGTATGCTACTCATGTGCTTGTGTGATTTTTGTATGTGAAGTTATGAATATGGGCTCTGTGCTTGTATTGTAAATGTTCTTGGTCGGGGAGAGAGCAATGGCCTGGACTGCCTATTGTGAGGAAGGATTGGTCAGTGACTGGTTGTGTTAACTAGCACTGCTCCATGGACAATGGCTCTTGAAGTGGCCAATACACACCTGAGGAATGTGTTTGGAAACCTGAAGACCAGCCAGTGTGTAATGGTTACTTGCATGTGAAACACAGACAGGGTCCCAGTCTGGGAAACACCAGGCATATAACAGTGCCATGAGGTCATCTCCATCCTGTCTTCAATCTTGCTACGAATCCCAGCTGCATCCTTGCTAGGGACAGAGAGCCGGGCAGGATTGCTGACCCATCCTGACATAGGATGTACGCCAGAGACTTCTAAGATAGCAGTTTGTAACATCTCTGCTAAGAACCTGCATCAAGAACTTGGTAATTGAGGTAGGTAATTTATTCTCCTTAACAATCTTACTCTCAACCTTTTCTTTCTTTTGTTAATAAACCTTTAGGCTACATCTACACTGGCAGCTTCTTGCGCAAGAACAGCTGTTCTTCCACAAAAACTTGCTGGCTGTCTACACTGCACAAGCATTCTTCCAGAAGTAAATTTACAGTACTACGTTGGAAACCAGGGCTTCTTCTGGAACAGTTATTCCTTTCCCCATGAGGAATAAGCCCTCTTGCGCAAGAGCTCTTCCAGAAGAGGCCAGTGTAGACAGGCAACATGAATTTCTTGTGCAAAAAGCCCCTATGGTTAAAATGGCTATCAGAGCTTTCTTGCGCACAAGAGCATCTACACTGCCATGGATGCTCTTGCGCAAAAGCACATGGCAGTGTAGATGCTCTCTTGTGGAAGAGTTTTTGCACAAGAACTCTACCACAAGAGAGCTTTTGCACAAGAAGCAGCCAGTGTAGACGTAGCCTTAGATTTTAGCTTCTGTTGGCCCAGTGTGCTCTTGTGGGTAAGATCTGAGGCATAAATTGGCCTGGGACTGGTCCTTTGGGATCGGAGTTGGTGAGAATGGGTTTTATAAACTCTACCTGTGTAAGGGCTGAGTCTGATTCTGGCATAGGGAAAGCTGGGATGTCTATGGTGTTTTACTTGTGGGGCTTCCTGCTGGCCAGAATGGCAGCTTAAGTGCTCTGTGTGACTGGGTTGTTGCCTATATGGAAAAAGGCTCACTTGCCAGCTGTAAGTAGCCCTGGTTTGAGCACTTCACCCTGAAAAGCCCCTCTCAGTGCTGCCTGGACCCGAGCTGAGATATTACACTAGTCTTGTGTTTTTTATGGGACTGCTTTGCCACCCTTTCTCTTGAGGTGAGCATAACTACCACTAGGCAGCTTTAAACCTGGGACCTCTGGAGCTTAGTATAGGAGCTGCTACAGCTTGAGCTATAAAGCCAGCTGGCTCTCATCTTAGGCTGTAAAGTTCCCTTGTTCTTATGTCTTACTGTTTTGAGCTAAGTGCCACTACATAGGACAGTGAACCGCACTAGGTATATGGGTTACATGAGCATCATGAATCAAAGTAGTCCTTACTATAATAGTTCCAATCCACCTTTATGGATGTGCTGGTTTGTGGCCTATTTGGGAAAGGTCTCCATTCAAGACTGTAAGTAGCCCAGTCCATCACAGAGCTTTTTCAGAAAAAGGCATGTGTGGACGGGGAAGAGGGAGTTCTTTTGAAAGAAGAGGAAAGAGGAAAAAGCACAGGTGTCCTGGTGGCCACTCCGTCCATAGTAATCACAGCTTAAATGAGAGATAGCGTCCATTCAGTGTGGATGCTATCTTTCAAAAAAGCAGATTGCTTTTTCAATGTGCTTTTGCTGTATAGATGCTCTCTTTTGGAAGAAGTTTATTCTGAAGATCTCTTCCAGAAAAGCTTCTTCCAAAAGAAGCCTGCAGTCTAGACATAACCCTGGTGGACTCATCTGGGTTTGTCTCAGCAAATCCATTCCCTGCCATTACAAGGCTTCCAGGATCTGCCCCAGGGACACAACTAGCAGTTCTGGGGGGAGCATGTAAGATTTGACTTTGAACCCCCTTCTCCTCTTACAGCTCACCTTTTGAGCATTACTGCTTAGCTAACGTTATTGTCTTAGGGTATTAAAGAATGATTAAATACATTTGTGTAGTTTTAATTGCACCCCACTGGGCAGGAGGTTTGTGAGGTACGATAACGACAGTATCTGTAAGAAGCTTACGTGTGGAGTGGAGTGTGTGTGGGCTCAAGGCAGAGGGTTAGAGTGTGTGTGATGGGGGCTCAGGGCAGGGGGTGCGTGTTTAGGAATAAAGGCAGGAGGCTTAGGGCAGGGGAATGTGGGAGGGCAGGAATCCAGGCAGTGGGATGGTTGTGGTGGACTCATGGCAGAGGGGTTTGGGGGTACATGAATAAGAATAAGGGGTTTGGGATGGGGGGGTCAGAGCAGGGGGTTGGGGTGTGTAGGGATGAGTGTGTGTCAGGGGCAAGTGAAAGGGTCCAGGAGCAGGCAGGAGGGTAGTATGTGGGGTCTATGGAGCAGGCAGGGGCAGTGTGCAAGGCAATGGGAAAGGCAGGGGGTGGTACAAAGGGGCGACGGGGCATGCAGAGGTCATGGAGCATGCAGGGATGATAGGAGGGGGCTAGGAGGAGGTAGGAGTTGGTGGGGTGGGCTATGCGGAGGAAGGGAGTGGTAGGAGGGGGCTATGGGGCTGGCAGGGGACAGTGCACAGGGTGATGGGGTAGGCAGGAGGTGGTACAAGGGGTTATGGGGCAGGTAAGGGGCAGTAGGTGGGGTGATAAGAGGGGGCTATGGAGAGGTAGGGGGCAATGCGGAGGAAGGTGGTGGTAGGAGGGGGCTATAAGGCTGGCAGGAGACAGGGCGGAGGGGGATGGGGCAGCCAGGCAGTGATAGGAGGGACTATTGGGAGCTATGTGGAAGAAGGGGGTGGTAGGGGCAGTGGGTGGGGTGCTGGAGCAGGCAGGGCTGGTAGGAGTTGGTGGGGGGCTATGCGGAGGAAGCGGGTGGTAGGAGGGGGCGATGGGGCAGGCACG